AAAAAACATATTTAAAAAAATAAGACAACTCTTTAATTGCTTACATCTGTTGAGCATCAACTCCTGAGTTTACTCCCCAGTAGGCAGTTGACCTTCAATAAATGCTAACAATTTCAGTTGATACAATATGAACAAGTTTGGTCTCAGGTTACTCAAAATAGGCATTCAAACTGCAAGACTCTCTCCAAGCCTCCTTTCCCCATTCCCAGTCCCCTCTGTCCCACCAGACCCCAATTTCCTTAACCTTCAGCGGACACAGAAGGGGCTGGGGCCAGATCCCTGGAGGTAACAGGATCCTCCACCATGGCGAAAATATAGTCAGGATAGCTGTGGACCCCTCTGTCTGGCCAGGACACATACTGCAGCTGTTATACAGATGAGATATTTAAAACACAGAAAAGTGGGGCAAAGAATTTAAAAAAGAAAGCATTTATTGGGCACCTACTACATGTCAGAGCCAGTTCTAAACACCTTCCATTTAAATCCAACAGATAATAACTGAAGAGATGGGTATTACTGTTAATGCCCATTTTACAGATGAGAAAACAGACAGGAAACAGCTCTCCCCATGTGGGAGCCTCTTCCTCCCCTTTTAGTACCTTCTGGAAAGTGACCTGGAGGGTCCTGAGCATGATATCTGCATTCAGCCACGTTTCTCTCATCTGAGGATGTGGGCAGGTGGGAAGAGGGAGGAGAACAAAGATCATGAGTGCCAAAAGACACATTTACAGAAAACAAAGCATTTTTGATTAAAAATCAAATACATGTTTTTCACGATCATCTAAACAAGAGGTGTAACAGGAGAGGGAGGTAATTTGGGTTAGACTGGGGAGAGAGAAGGGAACAGGGCAAAAGGAGGGCCACACTTGACCGACCCCCAAAGCCGACCTTAACCCCAAACTCCTAATCCAGGAACCAGAAGTTTAGCAAGGTGTGAGGCAGGGGTCCCTGTGTGGCAATGTAGTCCTGACTTCCATCTGTGCCTTGGTAAAGGCCAAGTTCACTACCCAGATTATGCTGTTACCCCACCAAGTCCACCCCTTCCCTGAATCCCAGGCTTGCATACTCAACACAGCAAGGGGAATTCTGTTGGGCAGGGGCTCTAAACCCATAGACCTGACAAAGCCCATGCTTCCCCACCCCTTCCTCAGGCTCCTGCAATTACATCCCCCAGCTTGGTATCCATGCTGTGGGGAACCGATATAGGGTTGAGCCTCAGACTGACCTGCTGGCAAAATCACAAACAAGTCCCAGTTTAGAGGGCTCAGTCCTCTTAGCTTAATTAGGCTTGACCTTATAACACTTCCTGGATCTTATCTGGGAGGCTAATGGGCTGAGGGAAGTGCAGGAAGTGTAACTATGGTCAAAACAGGTGAAACTCACAAGAACTGTGTAACTATGGTAACCACTGCCTTGTTTACCTCTGACCCCTTAAGAGTTGGTATGGTCTGAGCACGGGTGGAAGTCCTTCCTCTTGAGTTGGACTTACCCGCCTGGCCCCCAATATTCCCAAATTATCTCGTCTTTTCTCTTTCATTTGTGTGTGGCTCCTCTTCCAGATCCTGAACCCTGAACCACGCGGGACGTGGAGGGAAACATTTACAACACATGCCAGTTCCACACTGGGGACAGCAGAATATTCTCTCTCTCTTCCTCTTCCTGCTATTATCCCACCCCTTCCTTGAAAGCTTCTCCCCGGTGACTGGACAACCTCTGTTCTTGGGGCTGGAACCATGAGAAAGCAGCTCAGCATTCCTACACAGTGTCCTGTTGAAGATAACTTTTTAACTGTACTAGAGGACCAGTGCACGAAATTTGTGCACAGGTGCAGTCCCTAGGCCGGGCCAGTGATCAAAGTGTGAGTGTCTGGCATGGAAGAGCAGGTCCCAGCTGACCTCTGGGCCCTGAGCAGCACCCGGGCCTCCGCATGCACCCCTCCGCCTGAGTCACAGCCACCAAGTCCCCACACGGAGATGTGGTGAGTGCGACTGGACACCATGGGCCCGGGCACAGCATGGGCCTCTGGACCATCCAGCCATGCCACACGGAAGCCAGACAGGCAGCGCGCTCTCTCCCGGCTGGCCTTGCAGACCAGCTTCTGCACGTACCCATGGGGAGCCCGACTAGCCCCCTGCAGTCCTGGCAGCTGCAGCCTGGCTCTTCACAGGTCCCCGGTACCGGGATACGGGGGCTTCCCCAGTGCATGAGACCTGCGTCCCGGGGGAGGGTAGCAGGGGGAGTGAGAGCAAGCTTGGCGGACACCCCGCATTCTCACCGCACTTCCGTCCCAGGGACTCACACCCCCAGGTAGTCTGGCGAGAGGTTGCAGCCCTCTACCTGGGCACCGCGGGAGGTTGGTTGCTGCCACCCACCCAGGTTGTTCTCCGTCACAACCTGGGGCCTGGGGCCAATCAGGCAATCAGGGCCTTCCAGCCACTGGTTGGCATCTTCAGGATGATCAGTCGGGGCTGGGCCCCCCACCCGGCTCTCTCAGAGCCTGGGAGCCAGGCAGTGGCCCCGCCCCCCGCCACTAACGCAGGTAGCCATCTGCAGGGTGATTGGGTGCCTGCTCGCACCTGCCTTGGCCTGGTGCTGCCCACTCACCTGCTCTACCATCCCACCACGGTCCCACTCTTTATCAGGGCCCATCAGGGCTGGCAGTGCCTCCACTGCCGCCCGCTGCTAGCGCTGCACCACCGACACATGCCATGTTCTGCACCACCCCCTGGTGGTCAGCGCATATCATAGTGAGCGGTCCAACTCCCAGTTGAACAATTTGCATACTGGGCTTTTATTATATAAGGATTATGTTTTTTTTCCTGGACCAAAATTTTTTGCACTGTCCCCTTATCAATGTCACTCAGTTTTAACACCTTTCGTACCGCTCACGAGCTTTCTCATGTTTTGCACGCCATCTGTTAAGGACCGCTCATGAGTTTTCTCATTTTTCATGCGCCATCTGTTATGGACCTTAGATGTCAACACACTGTCTTGTCCACATCGAATGAAGCGATCTCATTGGTGGAAACCGTGCAGGTCAATCTACGAAAAACTATATAATTGCACGAACCCATAAAGCATTGCAGTTACATTGTATTTTGGTCATTTGAATAGTCTTCGTCTTCAAGTTCCTGGCACTTTTAGAAATGCCCTCTCTCAGAAAAAGGAAGGAAACCAACGAAACTGATACACTTCCTTTCGTGTTGTTCCATTCTAAGGAAAACGATGAAATGGACAAAAAAAGTAGTGCTGTACCTTATAAACTGTGGACTTTTCAATTCATTTAGAGTGTCCAACGTCCTCAATCCACAAGCAAAAATGAAGTATAAACAGTTTCTGCTATCCGTGGCATGAGACTGGATAACGGATGACAATAATGAAGGCTCTCCGGAACCAGGGACAAATCTGTCCAGTCCTTCCCCTGGGGTGCAAGGAAAGCACCTCGTAAAGATCCACCCAAAAGGTTGTCAGGTGATATGAAGCAGCATGAACCTACGTGTATTCCAGCGAGTGGAAAGAAAAAATTTCCTACGAGAGCCTGCAGAGTTTGTGCCGCCCATGGAAAAAGGAGCGAATCTAGATACTTATATAAATTTTGTTTGGTCCCTTTTCATAGAGGAAAATGTTTTACGCAGTACCATATGTTAAAAAAGTACTAGGAACTTTAATTGTTTAATTGTTTTTGTAAATAAAAATGTTATAATTATTGAAAAACAAAACCTAAAGTGCATTATGATCTGTAGTAATGATGATTTAAATAACGTGCAGTTTGCCCAAAAACGTGCGGTCCCTGGCGTATGTCTTAGAGATTTCTATGCGGTATGAAATGTGTTAATAAAGGAATCTTCTGAGGGAAAAAAAGTTATCATTGATGTAGACACCTTGTCTTTCCTCTTGCTAAGCAGCTCCAAGCCTAGCACTAGTGGCAGCCAGCCTCAGTTCACAGCTTAGGTTCTCCCAGACACCTCTAAGCCCAGCACAAGTGGCAAACATCTATAGGTCACTTTGTAGGTCATACCAAGTGGCCCCAGGCAGAGCAAAGGCAATGGCTGAATTTGGTCCCTCACAAGAGGCCCTGGAACCAACACACCCAGTGGTCTGATTCAGACCACATCAGAGCACTACCCAACCACCTTCACAAATGACACCACCAAAGGGTAGGCTCAGCTGGCACCAGAGCCCTGCTAAAATGAATCCTGTTCCATGGGATCAGCCCCTATGCAACAGCTCCTCTGCTATAATGAATGAGATGAACCCAAAGAGGCCCACACCAAGACATATCATAATTAAAAAGACACAGTCCACTGACATGCCAACGGCCGGTGCTTCCAGGGTTCAGAAAGTCCCACTTCGGGCGTCTATTTATGCCAGGGTTCATGTCCCAGCATCAAGAAGGGTTCAGGGATCTGGAAAAGGGGCTGCACGTAGATGACATAAGAATCCAGAGACTAATAAAGAGTCCAGAGACGAGTTATAATTTTGAAAGGCATTGGGGGTCAGAGGACCTTCAGCTAAAGGAACTGAAGAGTCCCTCCTTGCCTAGGACCCTTGCTTTTATTCACACAATTTGTCCTAAGGCAAGGTGGAGATAATACACTACAAAGGGTAAGGTGTCAAAGGGTACAGAAGCATTGTCAGTTTGGGGAATAGCCTACAGCTGTTCAGGTGTTTGGCCAGTAGGAGGCAATAACATGTAGATTAAGATGCCCTTTAACTGTCTGGCAGCCACAATCAGTTTCCTATTCAGGTTTGGGGAAATGCCTTTAGCCATTCCCAACAGGTGACTACATGTGTGACTCAACCCTGTTGTGTCCCCAAGTCTCATCAACCTTTTGATGAAACTCTTGAAATTACGACATGCTGGAATTGGTCTACGGCATCCAACAACAATCAAGGCTCAACTAGAACAGGGCACACACAACCCACCCAGGGACATACCTGGAGCACCTGGCTCAGGTGACTTAGGGAGACTGTGACACTGGCCCCACAGGACACCTACTACATAAGGCCAGTCTACTAAGACCAGGAGACATAGCAGATATACCTATACATAGAAACAAACACAAGGATGCAGCCAAAATGCAGAGACAAAGAAACATGTCACAAATGAAAGAACAGAATAAATCTCCAGAAAAAATTAAGTGAAATGGAAGCAAGAAACTACCAGATACAGCATTCAAAACAATGCTTAAAAGCAACTTTAAGGAACTTAGTGAGAACATCAACAATATAAGAAAGGACCAGTCAAAAATGAAGTATACACTAACTGATATAAAGAATAATTACAGAGGATCAACGGTAGAGTAGAGGAAGCCAAGAACCAAATCAAAGATTTGGAATATAAGAAAGCAAATAACACCCAACCGGAAGAGCAAAAAGAAAAAAGAATCCAAAAATATGAAAATAGTGTAATGAGCCTCTGGGACAACTTCAAGTGCACCAACATTCACATCCTGGGGATACTGGGAGGAGAAGAGAGGGAGCAAGAAATCAAAAACCTATTTGAAAAAATGTCAGAAAACTTCCCCTACCTGGTGAAAGAAATAGACATACAAGTCCAGGAAGCATAGAGAGTCCCAAACAAGATGAACCCAAAGGGACCAAGACACATCATAATTAAAATGCCAAAGACTGAAGACAAAGAGAGAATCTTAAAAACCTACAAGTGAGCACCTATATGACTGTCAGCTGATTTCTCAACAGAAACGTTGCAGGCCAGAAGGGAGTGGTATGGAAACATGGAACAGACTGATGAATCTTCAGAGGGAAAGGTGGAGTGGGGCTGGGAAGAAGATTAACCCAAAGAACTTATATACATCCTAGAGGCCTGATGCACAAAAATTTGTGCAAGAGTAGGCCTTTGGCAGCTCCAAGCTGGCTTCGGCCCTCGCAGCCCCAGCCTTCGTCTGGGTCGTTCCACTGTCTGGGCTGTTCAGTCATTTTGCATATTACATGTTTATTATTATTATAGACTAGAGGCCCGGTGCACAAACATTTGTGCACTCGGGAGGGTCCCTCAGCCTGGCCTGTGCCCTCTCGCAGTCTGGGACCCCTCGGGGGATGACCACCTGCTGGCTTAGGCCCGCTCCCCGGGGGATTGGGCCTAAGCTGGCAGTCAGACATCCCTCTGGCAGCCCGGGAGCCCTCGGGGGATGTCCACTTGCCAGCGGGGAGCAGACCTAAGCTGCAGTCAGACATCCTTAGCCCTGCTGGGGAGGCGGGAGAGGCTCCTGCCACCACCGCTGTGCTGGCAGCCATCAGCCTGGCTTGTGGCTGAGCAGAGCTCCCTCTGTGGGAGCACACTGACCACCAGGGGGCAGCTCCTGCATTGAGCGTCTGCCCCCTGGTGGTCAGTGTGTGTCATAGTGACCAGTCATTCCGCTGTTAGGGTCAATTTGCATATTACCCTTTTATTATATA